GTTTGCAGGAGGCTTTTTGCTGCCGTCTCTACTGACCCCACAGCCTGATTGTGGGGAGCACTGGGGTCACCAAGGACGAGGCCAGCATATATTTCTAGGAGAAGGGCCAGCATTCCTGCCTGAACTGCTCGCCTGTTCTGTCCTTCACAAGAGCCATCCTACTTTATAGGGCTGATTTCAGGCTGGCTTCCCTCCTCCTCTTGGGCCGTCTCCTTCCCATTGGCTGCCCAAACCTGTGTGGAGTGTGGTATTTTGGCGAGGTCCTTTTCTACTTGTCCCTAACTTGCTGGAAAAAGAAGAGTTGAACCTGCACATGTTGTGTTTTTATTTTTATTTTTATTTTTTTTTACTTTGACCCATTGCATGACTCCACCTTCTACTAAAAAGGAAGTTTCCATTTTTAACCTATAACTAACCTTCATTAGTTATTAGGTTGCCTTGGAGCTGCAGGGCTATTGTCAATTGGCCCAGATGCAATAATGTGTCGGCTCTAGGGTGGTAGCTTTTCCAGCTGAGTGTAAGCTTCTCAGAGCGGCACAAGGACATCTACCGACAATGCTGCTGGGTGCAGGAACATTCTGAGAGCTTGGCATGCATTGATTAGTGGCGTCATCTCAACCCCATGACACAGATACTATTAATAGCCCATTTCACAGATGAGTAACAGGGGCTAGTGAATGCAAGTGACTTGTCTGAGATCTCACAGCTGGAAGCCAGGTCCAGTTGGTCTAGATTCAAGTGTTTCTTCTCACTCAGTTCGTGCTCTGCTTCTTGATCAGAGACGGCCACATTCTTTTCTGGCCCTTTCTAATGTCTCAGTTCTGGATTTTCTGGACCCCTTGTTCTGGATTTGCATTCTGTCTTCTTTTCCCTCTGGAGTTAGAATCCTCTGATGTGGGTTGTGGTTTTGTTCACCTTCTGCTGTGGGACCTCTGTCTGCAGCCACAGAAGATACATGGGAAGGTGGGGTGGCATGTGTCCCGGAGGGTGGTGGTGAAGGAGGAGGGCACAGTTGCTTTCTTTCTTGTGGGTCAGTGGACAACAAGCAGACAGACACGTATCCCCAACTGAGGTACAGAGAGGGGACATGTGTGCTCTTCTGTATGGTTGGGGAGAGTAGTTCTCTATAACCAATCACATGGCTTGAGGAAAATTCAGCCCATAGTAAGCTTTCTGTCTGTGTCTTCTGGTCAGAAGATCAGTGGCTTCTCTAAGAGCTCCAGATACCAAGTGAGTGGGTACAGCCTTCTGCAGGGTGACTCTCAAGCACCAGCTGGGCCCCCTGGGCCACCACAAGGAGCTGCAATAGCCCCTGGCTTAGAAGAAAGGCTTCTTGATGTTGTTGTGATTGCTTTGCAAAGACGCAGAAAAGGGGTCGCCAGGACACCCTGGGAAATACTAAGAGAACTTCCTGCCGAGCTGTCCAGTGACCTGTTCTATTATCTCAGACACAGAGAGAGGAGAAACGGGGCAGGGCGAGAGGAAGAAGAGAGAACAGAGGGGCAGGAAAGTGAGGGAAAGGAAGATAAAGAAAACACATTGACAACTTTTGCTCCTGTGGTGCCTCCAAAGCAATGTTCAGAAATGGGCATTTTGCGTTCTTCTACCATGCCTGGTAGCATTGGCCCATGGCTGAAAGCATTGCCTAAGAAACCCTGCCAGATACGGTGCTCAACCGGAAGGGAGAATTCCACTTAAAATAAACTCCTCCAGGGTTGCCAAATGGGGCCATTCCCATTTGAACTGGCTGCGTGGGTTGTTCCCTCAAATGGTGTGAATCATGAGTGAACACACTGACCAGGTATTTGCAGCCAGCCAAATCACCAAAGGATTCATTTCCTATAAAAGACATTTGATGCCAGTGTCGAAACAAGGAACGCAGCACGGGCTTGCTGGCGTGGGTTCTGACCCACGGCTCCCCGGGTTGCCAACGCTGATTGGAATTTCAATCTCTTTCCTTTTTATTCATACAGCATGTTTGATTTAAAAATACCTTTAATGATCACAACTTTAATTTAAAATCAAAATGGGCAGAATTAGGATAAGCTTACCCAGACCGTGTGTTCAATTCTGCCTAGGGTCAGAATTGAACATTTCCCCATTGCTGGGTAAATGGAAGTTACGAGAATTAATAATATCCACTGCCAGTCGTTAGCATCTAGGTAGTGCGAAGATCACACCAGCACCATTTTATTGGCTTTAAAAGGCAGGGGTGGGGTTGGAGGATGTTGTTTTGGTGTCACTTCCTATTAACAGATGTAGAAGTCTAGACACAACAATGTGAATCATGTTACACGAGCGCTTGTAAGAGAACGGAAAGGTGTTAGCTTTGAAGAGTGTGTGAGGAGCACCCAGAGCCCAAGCACAAAGAAGCTAAGTGATGCTCCCGGGAACTAGGGCCAAGGTCACTGACTCTGGTCCGGGGTTGGTTCCATTAGACTTCACCCGACCTCTGTTCACTACAGATTGATGGAGACCAGAAGGATGAGCGCTGAATTTCCTCAACGACCCTGATTCATGCGCCAGTTACCTTTCTCCCTGGGCTCTGATTTCTCTGCCATTGAATTAGCTATTAGCTATCAACACAATATGTTTCTAATTCTAAAACTCGCTCAGCTGTTGTCTTCCTGGGTGAAGGGAATGACTCCTTTTGTGGTATAAGGACTCTTGGGGTGGCTTCCACTAGAGTTGAAAAACAAGCATGGCTGTTGTGGATTATCTCTATTTTTGGAGCCTGATTATACATCAGGTGCTAAGGCACTCAAAGGACTTAAAATTTAATCTCCTTGTGTACAATCAGGCGAATCATTCAGCCTCCCTGTCTGGCTTTTCCCTCACCTGTCCCGTGGGACTATTTTTACCGGCTCCTTCATGGTGGTGTGGCGAGGATCAAATGAGTTAACAACACTTATTATATTATTGATTGTTATTGATTAACCCCACTGTGTAAAGAGGTGGACAGACATGCAGAGGAGAAGCTGTTTGTATGTGTGGTAACGAATGATGCTAGAATCAGAACCTTAAACAGAGGCAGGTAAGGAAGGGTGGGTGAATCACATCAACGCACATGGTATGCATATACGTAAATATCACAGGGAATCCCACTAATTTGTTAATATGTGTTAACTTAAGCAACATGAAAAAGAAAAGACATTGACTTATCCAGATCTTTAAGCCAAAAAGTTGTTTGTTGTCTATAGCAGTGGTCTTGAATTCAGTGCTTATACTGCAGCTGGGAGTTTAGTTAAAATCTGGATCCCGCACCCTGAGGTGCTACTGCAGGAAGTCTGGGGTCTAGACCAAGAGTCTGAACCTTCTGAGCTCTGCTTGGCGTGTGGTTGCCAGTGGTTGCTGGATGGCACGAGGGACATCCTGGGGGGAGCCAGCAAGGGTTCCACTCACTGAGCCCTTGGGGAAAAGTGCAGGCAGCGACGGCTGGAATCCACCCTGAGCAGCAGGGAGGGAGAGGCTGTGTGTCATATGTTGGGGCAGCTGCGTAGGGGCAGCTGCGGGCCAGAAGGAAGCGTGGTCACCCCTGTATTGGGGAGAGTTTAGGTCCCCTGTGATACCATATTAGGGAGAGTCAAAATGAGAAGGACATAATCTAGGAAAAAAGTACGTAAACCATCTCCCTCGTTTAGAAATGTGACGACGGACCCTTGCATCGAGAAGCAGATGTGGTGGAGACGTGGGCCTCAGAGGCCACGCCGTGTGGCCTCATTGCTGGCTGCCTTTCCAGCTCCGCACTAGACCCGTGTGAAGTGAGACCTTTGCTCCTCGCGCAGGCCTGTCCACTGCAGCTGCTGACCTGTGCGCGGAGCAAGCTTACACTCCCCCCTGTGGCCGGAGAGGAGACTTAGCTTCTCAGGAAAACCTGGACTTCCCGTTGCCCTATACAAGACTTGCTGCTAGTATACAAGGTCCTGCAGGGGTTTTACAGTCTCTTATACAAAGAAGACCATTTCTGGTGGAAAACCCCCTAAAACTGCTGAGTGGTGAAATTCCCTCCTTACTGTGCAGTTCACAGGAACCAGTTCTTCTCACGGAAGGCACAGGGATGCTGGGCACTGACTGGGAGAAAGGCGTCTTGTTTCTGGGATAAATGACAGTGGCATTTGCCATCAGCCTGAGGTCAGCCTGAGTCCACCGATGCCCCTAACTCTAAACCGAGTCGGAATCAGAAGCTCAGAACAGGCCGAGATGCTCTGCCGTCTTGCTAATTGCTTGTCTGGTTAATGTTGATGGTATATGTTGGGATCCTCCTGGCCCAGAACTGAGTCACACAGAAAGGAAAAAAGTATGCATGGAGATGACACATGTCTGGTTTTTAATTTAAAGGATAAAACCAGGTATGATGGCAATGACCTACACCTGTGATCCTCACACCCTGTGGGAGGCTGAGACAGGAGGATCGAAATTTTAAGCTCAGATTGGGCAAGACCCTATCTCAAAATAAAGGTGAAAAATAAGAAAGGGCTGGGGATGTAGCTCAGTGCAAAGTCCATCAGTTCAATCCCCAGTGCTGAAAAAAAAATTACGGAATTTTTTTCTGCATAGTACCTTAGATTTTCTAAGACCCTGAGTCCATTATTATCCCATTTAATCTTGCCCGCTCTTGTTAGGCAGGGCCTATGTTCCTATGCCTCCTTTACTTCAAACCACACACACAGTTGTGCTGCGGCTCCCTCCCAAGGTTGCCCAGTCCAAGTTCTACCCTCTGTCCATGTTTCCATCCTGTGCCCTGAGGCGGGACACAGCCACGTGCTCACCAGGAGGATTCTGTCCACTTAGAAGAGAGAAGTTGTGGGCAGAAAAGAGATCACTCTGGGGGCTCTGCACTCCACTAGCTTGGTGTCCGTCACTACTTGTCTGCAGGGAAAACATCTGCACTGCTGAGCTGTGAGTTACACAACGTGAGTGTCTTTGATGTGGGCGGCAGGCATCGACTGGTATCTGATACACACCCTAAGAATTCAAAACTGCTTTATTGAGTAGAAAAGAGGGTGTGCTCCCAGGAGAGCACGTCTCCCCACCAAGCTAAGCACTATTAAACCTCCCAGATCGAGACTAGATAACTAAATTCACGGAGAAAGCACTTTAAAATGAGAGAATAGAGACAAAATTAGATCTCAGGCTGTAACCAAAAGCGAAGATTATCCAAAGCTCACACTGGTGGAGGGCTTTTCAGTGTACAAAGCGAGGTGATATAAACAGTTTCACTGGACTCCCAGCCACCCTGCAAAGTAGGTATGACCCTCTTTCGATGATAAGGAAATTAATTTGACGATGACTAAAGTTTTGTGCAGGGTCACGGTGGGGAAGTGAACATTTCAGGCTTCAGGTCTTTTGACTCCACATTCTGTGGTGGGTTTGGAATTATTTACTAAAGCACCCAGAAACGTCCAATAGTTTTTGTAGGGAATGATTTTTAGGGTCTGTGGTGCTACCGCAAAGAACTACGGCCCCGGCTGGCACGGAAGCGGGGCCCGTCTCATGCTGGGACCTCCTTGTACGTGGCGCCGCAGGTATTCAGCTCTGCTTTCTGCAGGGTTTGTGGCTCTGAAGTCCATTTCTGTCTGGCGGACAGATTAAAGCAGGAAGCCGAGCTGTTTCTTCACTGTCAACCAACGGGAGTTTTGTCTTGAGAATTCCAGCTACGTACCCCTTGTGAAAGATCAGATCAAACTCCCTTTCCCTAAAGAAAAGAAAGAAATAGCAAACATTTAATGAAAGGACCCAGTTTCTTCAAAGATGTTTTGATGAAATAGCTAGATTATTCCCCATCCTCACTCCTGAGTCACAGAGAAAATAGCCGCGGCAGATCCACGAAGTTGTGGAGAACGATGGAGATTCTCAGGGCTCTCTCGGGGAAGGGAAAGAACGTGGGTGCAGAGAAGCAGTGACTGAGACAGGCGGGGTCCGGATTTGTGGTGTGTATTCAAGGAAACTAAATCCTAAGGATCCTTCCCCCTATTCACCCTGCTCCTGTGCAGGCTGCAGTCTATGTCCAGAGAAGGAGGTCGGAAGGAAGGCAAGCGTGTCGCTTTTCACCTTTATGTGCCAGTGGCTCCAAACATTCCTGGAACTTGTCTGACCGGCTGTGACGAGGCACGTAAGTAAACAAAGGCTGAGTACATGAAGGAAAACCTGCCTGCCTGTCACCCGGGGAGCCCAGCAGTGTAGGCCACTCACCCATCAGTGCCCATCCTCAGGTAGAGGCAGATGTCCTTCCGAAGAAGTGCAACTCATTAGAATGTGGCAGCAGCGACTTGGGGAGGGGTGAACACGAGATATTCTATCGATGGGGACCCACTATAGTAGTAAGAAGCTAGGTACCTGACCGGCCTGGGGATTAAACCTTTCTGGCAGGAGCATGTATTGGCCTCTCTCCCATGAATGTGGGTCGTGTCCATCACCTGGGCTGTTAGGCCTTGGCAGGTCGGCAGATGTAGCAAGGCTGCACGTGCTCGTAAGACGAAACCACCTTCCCGTCCTTGATCTCCTTGGTGATGGTGCATATTTTAACCAGGATCCGGGGCGGGAGTCCACAGCTCTTGTGTGTCACAGGGAGGGCCGAGGCCGTACACACTGGGGCGGGGCATTGCCTGACTCTGGCCTTGCGGGTTACACACACGGAGGACTCAGATTTGGCAGCACACGGGTTGCAAGGCAGCCTAAGGAGAAAACAGAATGGTGTCTGGGAGGGAGGGAGGGTAGCAATGGCGGTGGAACAGATGTGGGTAGCTAAGCTTCCAACATTTGTCCTTCAGAGCATGTACCTTCATATGATTATTCATTCATTTTGAACGGAAGCTAGCGGAAGAAGATAATCAGACCAATTCATTGGAAAACAGTATTCTACGGTGAGAAGGGTTATGTTATATAAGTTCTCAGTTCGGCCCGGGGCCAGAGTGCTGCGGGCGGAACCCTGCACCCGTGGTTGGACGCGGGGCTGGGCCCCAGCTGGTCCTGAGCTTCGACTTTCATCTGCAGAGTGGACACCACAAGACCCACACTCAGGATCGACAGCAATAAGGGACCAGCTGAGGGACGCACCGTCTGAGTGAGGCAAATGAATCAGATATTTTTTCCTGTGGGGAGTTCTCTGATTACCGTGGGGAGGCAGGAGTTCTTTGTGATCACAAAGGTAAGCCTGCATTTGCTGTATTAGTTTGGACGAGGTGAGTTCCTCTTGGGTTGGTCAGCTTACTATCGTTTTTAAAATATGTACAACTTTCATTTTAAAAAGATGTGAAGCATGCATGTGTATGTGCTGCTCTTGGCATTAAGGATCAGGGGCCAGACAGGGCTGGGGACTTCAGCCTGAGCACAGTGTTCCTCCAGAGGGACCTGGGTCATCCTCTTTGTCCAGGCAAGTAAGATGTTCATCTTCATATGTGTGTGTGTGTGTGTGTGTGTGAGAGAGAGAGAGAGAGAGAGAGAGAGAGAGAGAGAGAGAGAGAGAGAGAGAGAGAGAGAGAGAGAGAGAGAGAGAGAGAGAATCTGTACCATGACTATGTGTGTTCATCTTTGGGGAAATGTTTTTTTCCTCTAGTAGTGTGTAAAACTCTAAGAAACTAAACAATTACAAAGACTTAACATGTGCTACCCGATGAAGCCACCTAGCTCAGCCCACAGCTCCACGAGGCCAGCGGCATTGAAGCATCTTTCCTGTGCATGTTTCTGTTTGTTTACGTACTTGACATCCCAGCCCTCCAGCAGGCTGCGGTAGGTGGCAATCTCACACTCCAGCTGGGACTTGGTACCCAGCAGAATCTCGTAGTCTTGGTTCTGTCGTTCCAGGGCACTGCGGATCTCTGCCAGCTGAGCCTCCAGGTTATGGATCAGACTCTGGATCTGGGACAGCAGGGCCGTGTAGCTGGCTTCCGTCTCCTCTAAGATGCGTTCTTGGGAATCTCTCTGCCATGCAAAGAAAGGTGAGTTAATGAGGACTCCTTTAAGTCCAAGTTCTTGCTGAAGTCCTTTTGAACAGTGGTTTCTTTGTGACAGTATGAATGGCTCTCCAGCCCTTTTATTATGTCCTACGCAAATAAATCCAAGAATAAAATCATCAGTTACGCTAAAGCTTGCTTTCCTTTATCCCCTCTCTGTTTGCGCTCTGTTCTTCCTGACCACCTGCTAACCGCTCACCACATCCTCCTACTGACTTGAGAAATGAAAGTTTTGAACTCATATACATCCAAGTGTTAAAACGCGTCATCATGCCACCTCAGTCAGTGAGTGTTTGTACCTTAAAACAAGAGTGAGCAATGTCTAACCATAAACATTTCCTTCACTGGGTCAGTTCCTTTGTATGCAAAATATTAGAGTTGAAATTTTGATGAGTAGCATTCTTTCCTGTTCCATCACTGTAAATGTATGGCTAATAAGGACATTTTAGGTTGTAATAACCTGGTATTTGCATGATTATTCCAATTTTTATAGATGAGAAAGCTGACGTTCACAAGGTTAAATGAATTGCCCGGTCACATGAGTATCTGGTGACAACACCGGCTTGGGGGCAAGGTCTTCCTAGTGCACTTCACCGCAGGGCTTTTAAGTAATTTCCTACTGCAGAGAAGCAGTAGAATGAGACAGAAGCGCTACTGCTGTCGGAGTCTGAATTCTGGCTCTGACTCTTGTTTCTTTTGTGGTGTTGGATACTTCACGGTTACTTCCAGGGGTAGTAACTCAGGGTCTTTCTTCCTGTATAACACAGGTGGGATGACACTTATCTTGGATTTGTCTTGGGAAAATCACCTTACCTCTTAGGACTTCATCAGAGGTCATGGTTGATAATTATGCAACCTCCCTCATAAGACTGTTTTATAATTCCACTACGACATCTTATAAAAATGCTTTGTGTATAATACAGTGCTCTCCTAGTGTTTCCCAAAGTGTAATCTATGGATCATGATTACTGTGAGATGCTCTTAAAAAAGAAGAGGGTCCACAGTCAAATAAGTTTTGGAATGCTGGGTACCATTTGGCCTCTTCTGGCAGATTCATGGTGTGTGTCAGCTTATCAGTGGGGTCCAGCAAGCCACCCGGTTTAACCTTAGTTTAACCCAGCATTCCTCGGACTTATTTGACTCTGAAGTCTTTTCTCAGCGGTAGACTCTTTAAGAGATGGAAGATCTGTGGTTCTAAGGCGTACAGTTTGGGAAACATCACAAGACACACGTGTCGGGGGCTGTTGCCACCACTGCTGTCTTGGGCTCGGTCAGCCTGCTCGGTACCATTCGGTGCTGGGCCTGCCGTTCCATCTCCAGCGCGTTCACGGTGCGTCTCAGCTCTATGAGCTCCGCCTGGCAGCTCTGCTGCTGCTGAGAGCTGGTTACCACCTGCTGGTTCAGCTCCTCCATCTGAAACGCAAGGGTCACTGGAGTCACGGCAGGAAAACACGGCTGACCAAAGAGCCCCTGGGAAGGTGTCGGTGTAATGTGTTTGACCTTTCTATTCTCCCCACCTGTGTGTTGAACCATTGTTCCATGTCCTTACGGTTTGTCTCCATGATGGACTCATACTGACACCTCATTTTGTGTAGAATCTGGTTTAAGTCCGCAGAAGGGGCAGCGGTCACTTCAATGTTGAGTCTGTCCCCAAGCTGGCACTGTAGCGAGCTGACTTCCTACAGAAAGGAAAGGAAGGTGAAGTTACCGGGTGAACAGGCCACCCCTGTGCTCTCATTGCAGCCTAACAGCAACAGTTTAGCTTAACTGTGTCTCAGACACAGCTCACATAAAGGGATACTGGTTCGGAGGTGTTGTTGAGATGCCACAGATAATTGGAGGCTGTCTCAGCTACGATTGTGGATTCAAATATGTGGCAAAATAAAGAATTAACGAATGAGACAAAAGTTCCAAAAACTTTAGGTCATTTTTAGGGATGGGTAATGGAGGACCCAGTACGGAGGAGGAAGGGGGAATTTATAATGGGAGACCATAGTCTCTATGATGCCAATACGGGCTTGTGCCAATCCTGATTTGACCAACAGGCCCGTGTGGAAATCTGCATTCAGGGGTGTCTAACACCGATGGGAAATTTGCGAGGACAGGAAAAGTGGGACAATGGAGGCTTTTGGGTCCATGTGGCTTTGAAATACATTGAACCTGTGGTTCAGGTAGCAGCAGGAGTAGCGTGAGGGCCCAAACCCGGAGTGGTATCTACAGCACATGCCTTTGGTCAAGCACAGTTCAGAGGCAACGATGCTGCTCTGAGAGGCTGAGTTGGGGCGATGTTCTCGGTCTTTCTCTCACCTCCTCGTGGCTGGTTTTCAGGCAGAGCAACTCCTCCTTCAGAGACTGGACTCGAACCTCCAGGTCAGCCTTGCCCAGAGCCAGGGCATCCAGGATCTGCCGTAGGGCGTTGGCATCGGCTTCCACGAGCTGCCGCAGGGACACCTCCGCTTCGCACCTGTAAACGCCAGATGGGAAGGACGTCATGGAGATGGTGCGTGTCCAGCCAAGCAGAACTTCCATCTACATTTTCTCTGGGTCAGTCATTTACTGTATTTCTACGGAGGGTTTTGTTCTCTTGAGAAGTAAAGCTGGTTGATTAATAGCATGACTTAGTTCTACCTACGTGACCAAGAGCAGTGCCACTTTGCTATACTTGGAGGGAGGAAATTTACGCTCCTACCTCTGCCTCTAGACAGGGCAGTGTGAGAAGAGCCCTGGGCGAGGGGCTCAGGAATCCTGGGTCTACAATTTGGCCTAGTCTTGTGTTAACTGTATGCCTTTGGATAAGCAACTTCCCCACCAAACCACAATTTTCTCACCTTAAATGGGGTAACTCTACCTATTTACTGAACTCTTGTGCAGGTGATTAGATGGGTCTATATGCTAGAACTATGGGTACTGTACACATGTGAGTGCTGTGAATCTTAACCATACATTGAACCTGAAGGTCTCTTGCAGGCTAGTGCAGCATGCCAGGGAGCAGGAGGCATGGCAGATGTGGGGATAATCTTATTGGCAGTGTGGAGGTCAGACTGGGGGTGAATTCTGTCATCCAAGACAGTGACGGGTGGGCTTACTTGGCTCTTAAGTCATCTGCAGTCAGTTTGGTGTTGTCAATTTGTGAGACCAGCCTGGAATTCTCAGCCTTGGTACACAAGATCTAGAATTAAGAAATTGTACACGCAAATGAGACAAACACCAGGATTCCTTTTGAAAAACCTTGTAAGGGGCTTGTGTGTGTTTCAGCTAACAGGGAAGGCTGGGAAGACTTTTCATGGGTCTTCAGAGCAAAGCTCAAGAATTCTGGGAAACTTTACACAACCAGATTTCTTGCTATTTTCTTAAAAGTTCAGCAAAAATTACTTAAATAAAAATGTACACATGTCTTCCTGTCACCAGCCTTGGCCCTCAACTGAATTCAAATTCTATTCTAAATTTATAAATTTATAAATTTAAATTTATAAATTTGTAAATGTAAAATCTATTCTAAATTTATAAATGATGATCTGGTACACTGGAAACTCCATGAAAGTGGGACATTTCTAGTTCACCAACATTTTCCCATATCCTAGAACAATGGTCTGGAACATTGTGGATAGTGCTCAGCAAATATTTACTGAACAAATAAAACTGAATAAATCTAGATGTGTAGCAGTAGCATCTCACTCTGAATGGGACCCTTAGGTCTGGTGTAGAAACAAACTGTTTAAAAATGTGAAGAAGATAAAATGAGCCTAGAAGGAGAAAAATGTGGTAATGGTTGCAGATGGATTAAAAACTAAACTGTCCAGAAATGTATTAAAGCAGAACTTATTTTCTCAGAGTCCAGTTTTCCTATTTTTATTAAAGAAACGGTGGCAACTGGTGGTTAACATGTTTTGATCTTGAGCTATCTAGCTGTGATATGTGGTACGGCACATCTCTAGGAAAGCGAAACACGTAAGGCTGAATGGTACCTCAAGGTGATAATTCACTCAGGAACTTTTCTTATTCTCCCAAAAAATTTCAGTATAAAAGGAACTAAAAATACTTAAAGTTTAGCAAATAATCTCTGCTCAGAGACCATCAGTTCACAACTGGATTAAATGGATTGCTGGGGGTCTTACCTTCTGCTGGAGCTCCTCAATGACGGTGTAGTAGGACAGGTAATCAGGACACAGGGCAGGGTGCTCTTTGTTACACTCCTCCTGGATTCTGCGTTCCAGGGCTGCGTTCTCTCCTTCTAGCTCTCGCACTTTTTCCAGGTAGTTAGCAAGGCGGTCGTTCAAGAGCTGCATGGTCTCCTTCTCGTGACTGTTGATTCCTTCCCAGTACCAGGCACAGTCATCCAGACAGGGGTGGCCGTTGAAGCTGCTTATCAGGTAGATGGGGGTGCAGCAAAGGCAGAGAGCAGACTGGCAGCCCTGGCCCTGGAGGGTTCTCAGGAGCTGGTGAGTCGGCTGGCAGCTGTTGGCTTCAGGGCCATCACGATGGCGGCTGTTGTTAGAAGAGGTGGTTCTAAAATTTGTAATCCCAGAGCAGTTGTGGGGTGGGGTCGCAGGAGAACTAGTCGCTGTACAGCCCTGAGCATCCATTGTGTGTTCTCAGCTCAGTTTATTTCCGAGTCTGTGGTCACCAGCTCCAGAACCCTCAACGGAGTTCAAATTCCAAGCCTGTTGGCTTCTCCCCCTTTGAAGTGCTTATATAGCTTCTGTTCTAGGTGGTGTCACCACAGTGAGATGTTTTCCTTTCTAATGTTTATATCAAATCCCATAGGAACATCTCATTATCTGCTTTTTACTTGTCTGGGAAGAGTTACTTGTCTCATAAAAATGTGCATTTAGCCGGTTACTAAGTTATTACCCATCCCGATCACCACTTGTCATTGGACCCAGAGCTTCACATCACATCTTCAAAAGGCTCTGTCATCACGGACCTGACAGCATCCATTATTAAGCAGGTGTGAGCCTACAAGTTCATTAAATCCCAGTTGACCTCTCTTCCCTGCATCTAACTTGACTAGGCGCTGGTCCGTCTGTCTTTTCCTTCCTTCTCTAGAAAGGGGAAACTACTAAATCCAATAATTATTGGTTAACTTAGAAATCAGTTTTGTTTTGTACTACTCAACTGATTTCCCCCATTTTTATTGCTCAGGTCTGGCGAGTATGGGTTACGATGTGTTAGAGCATTTTCAGTGCTCGGTGTCTGGTGGTGGTTTTACATTAGTTTATCATTTGCCACAGTGTTAATCTGTTGAAAGATATGTGTGTTCTTTCTGAAGAAAATACTTAGCATTTCAGCATTTTCTTCAAGAAGCTACTTGATTCTGATCCTTTATCCTATATTTCACTTCTAAAGTGAAATATTTTCCTGTCTTCCTAGCTTCTGTCAGCGTCTGCTCTGGCTTGGGTAAGTTCTCACAAAGCCTGTGTGTTAAAGGCTTGGTCACCACCCTGTTGCCCTACTGAAGGATGATGGGACTTTAAAGAGGTGGGGCTTGTGGGGAGGAAGTGAGGTCATAAGGGGCGTGTCCTCCAAGGGGATCTTAGGACTGCAGCTCCTTCCTTTCTCTCTCTGCCTTCTGGCTGCTATGAGGTGAGTGGATTCCTGTGTCACACAAGCCCACCATGATGCTCTGCCTCACCACAGGCTCCGAAGCAATAGACTCCACTAACCATGGGCTGGAACCTCTGAAACCATGAACCAAATAAACATTTCCTCCTCAGGTATGTTTTTCTACAGCAACAGAAAGCTGACTAACACACCAGCCTTGGCTTGTGGCTTCCTTCTTCTTCAACACCAGCAAGGCCTGTGGAGTCTTCCTCACATCACCTCCCTTTGACACAGACAGCCTCCGCCTCCCCCTTCCATTTTTAAGGATCTCAGTGTTTACACTGGGTTACCCTGATAGTCTGAAATGGTCTTCCTGTTTAAGATTGGCTGATCAGCAACTTTACTTCCCCTTTGTCATGTAGCTTAAAATATTCATAGTTTCTGGGATTAGGACATGGGCATTTTTCAGAGTATTGGGCATTATTTGTACACTATATCAATGGAAGGAAAAATCTCTTAATTTACAATATCACCAACAAATGTAAAATGTGCAGGAATAAATTTAGTTATATGGACACAAGATTTATATGAATAAACTGTTAAAACATACCAAAGGACAGAAAACTAGAATAAATGGAATGATATCATGATTTTAGATGGAAATATAATGCTCACCACTACAAAAATGTCAACTGTCTCTATATTAATTCAATTTAGAGTCCAAAACTGTATTAAGATCTTCCCAAGATAGGTATTTTTTTTTTCAATTAGACAAGATAATTCTTGATTTTTTTTAGTTACAAAATTTAATTATAAGAATCAAAGAGTGGTTATTGGTGGATCCAATCCACACTGACAGCTCTGAGGTATGCAGATGCTAGCTTTTAAACAAAGGTAATAAATATTGATTATATTCCCAGAACAATGTTTGGGATCTGCATAAAACTCGATTCTAGACATAGTTTGCTACACCAAGCTAAGAGAGCAACAGTGAAATCACCAATAATTAAACCAAAGATGTAATTTCCAAATCATTTTTAGTGAGACAATAAGTCTGTTCTAACTTTTGAAACATGGAAAGCCAGATAAAACTCAAAGAAATCTGTTTTTCTGCCTGAGATCAAAGTAAGTTTGCTGTTTTCTGTTGTTTCATAATTCTTAGAAATGAGGTAAATCTGAATTCGTGTATTTTGTCAACTTTTCAAAAAAAAATTTAAGCCTTGCTTTTATTTACATTTTTTCTTCAAACACGAGTGAGCAGCTTATATGTAAAGGGATCATGAAACTACTACTAATATGAAAATAAAAAGCCACACATCTGTACAAAGTGTCCCTGCATGTGTAATATGAACTGGGATCACAGAATCTATGTACATGCATGAATTTCTAGAATTCAAAATGCTCTGAACTCAAGGCTGGCCTTGAACTTGTGGCGATCCTCCTACCTCAAGCTCCCAATGGCTGAGATTACAGGTGTGCACCACCGTGTCCAGCTAAGCTTACAAGAAAAAAAAAAAAACTCACTTTATTCTACTCTTTGAGGCAGGGGTTGCAAAATGGTGATGTGACAGATAAAGATACTGTGTGTAAAAGTGCCAAAACCAAGCACTAACCTTAATTGGCAAAAACAGCAATTTAAATAAAAGACTAGACTAAGCATGACTAGGACTTTATTGTGGTTCTGCAACGTTTTGTTTTGTGGCCTGTGTATTCTTACTGAGGTAACAGCCTCTTCTCTCTTGTCCTTCACCTACTGCAAACCAAAGCCAGCAAACAAAAACAAAAAATACCCCCATGGCTGCCTGCTTTACGGCTATCTTTGGCAATGCTTCCAAATTGTGAAAGCAAAGGAGCCCGCTGAGGTGAAGCAGATGATATTTCTCCTTTCCCACTGGATGTGACGTATGAAAACCAACCTAAGGATATGAACAGAAAAAGGAACTAGTGACAGTTGAGCATATTCTACCCTCAAGAGAAAGAGAAAATAAAGTAGGAAGGCTGTTACTCCACTGGCCCTGCTTCTACATCACCTGCCAATTAGCACAAAACTTCAGATTAGATCAAAATTTCCAACTCTGAAAAGGTAATGGCGTAGGAGGAGCAGATAGAGGAGTGAATACATGGTGAGGAAGTACAGCAGCAGCTATAGCTGTCAGTGAGTTTGTTTGCCTTGGTATTGGCAATATCAATACCATCTTCGCTGCCCTTTTGTGAGTAAGTCTATGTGTCGAGCTTCAGTTTCATTGCCCATGTCCATGGCCGTGTTCTTTAGGGTTCCCAGGGTACTCCCCACTTCAGGCTCTCCTCCATCTCCTCCTCTCTGGCGTCACGGGTTATACGTTTAATGTATCCGCCGCTGGAGGCTCCATTGGCTGGCTGCTGAGGCTGCCCGTTTGTGACTCCAGCTGGCTGCTTGGATACCACATTTCTAGGTGAGTTGCCTCCACCACCTCCCTACTTGCCTTATAGGCCTTGCCAGACTCAAAGTTCTTCGTCTCATTACGTGGACAGACACAAAGGCCACAGCCCTTGTTGAGTTCTGTTAGTCTTCTCTGTCTCTCTCGTGTCTTTGTTTATCTGGCCCATGCCTCTTTCTATGTGGTTTAGTTGCACCCCTTGTTCATCCAGCAAGTTGATGGTCTTGATTCCTGCATCCTGAGACCGAATGGCTAAATCCAGAGCTTTCCTTGTACTCTCCAGAGACTCATAAGTAAGCTGGTTAGCCCTCAGCTGAACGTCTTCGGGTGACAGACGATCCATGATGAATCAAAATTCTACCAGGCACAGTGGTGGAAATGTGGATATTCGAGAGGTTCCAGCCACTCCTCTCTGGCTGCTGCTGCTCGGACACTCGAGACCAGACCAGGCACCATGCCTTTATCTCTTCATTTTTTTTCTTTAGAAAAACAAAAGAGACTATCCAGGAAAATTCTGAGAAAAGTAGTCCTTCCAAGATATTAAAACACATTTTAAAATGTAATTAAAATATGGTATTGATGCATGAATAGTGAGACAGATCAATGGAATGGAATGGAATAGAGTAGAGTAGAATAGAATAGAATAGAATAGAGATAGAGATAGAGATAGAGATAGAGATAGAGATAAAGATAGAGATAGAGACAGAGATAGAGATAGAATGATCTCAGGAATTTAAAAAATAGTCCCAAACAGATTGAAATTTAATATTTGGTAAACAGAACATTTAAAATGAACAAGGAAAACATAGACCATCAATCCCATGCACTCCTGACAATTTTATACCACTCTTGGGGCCCCAGGAAATATGGAAGCTGTTATGGCTTGTATCTAGATGGTCCCCAAAAGCCTCATGCACACATAGGTGGGGCTTTTTCAGAAGTGGCTGGATCTAGAGTGTGTAACACTGGGATTGATTCATGGTGCAATGCATGTCTAGGCATACACCAAGAGAAGTGAATGTAATACAGCACATACCTCAAAAGATGTGCACAAGAATACATAGCAGCCATATTCTTAATAGAACCTCAATGCAAATAACCTAACTGCTCATAAGCAGGACAACAGGTAGGCAAAGTGTAGCATGTTTATAAAATGGAATAGTACTAAACAACAGTAAGGAATGAACTAGTGGTTTGCATAACATCTCAAGAACTTACTGAGATGAAGTAGACGTAATGGAGCACAATACTATGATTATATGCATATTAACTCCATGAACAGGTGACACTCATCCATGGTGTTGGGTATCAGAATAGTGTGGCCTCTCTGGGAAGGTGAGCTGACCGGAAAAAGGCTAGAGTATTTTTTAAGGCTGATGTTCTAAATCTTTTTCATTCTTTTGAGACAGGGTCTCACTATGTAGCCAAGGCTGGCCTTGAACTTGTGGTGATCCTCCTGCCTCAGCCTTCCCCCGTACTGGGATAACAGGCATGCACCACCACACTTGACTCTATACATCTTCATATTGTATCCTACATCTGACTATGGGTGGTGAGGACTTGGGTGTATACGTTTTTCAAATCTCATGGAGTGACTTATTGTAAATTGCTGCATTTTATTGTATGAAAATTATACCCTAAAGTACAGTTAACATAAAAAAATTTGATACAGCTGGGTGGCTATACGAACTTCACTCCTTTTTCATACAATACTCCAATTTCAAATACATGAAGCATTCAAATGTGAAAAATGAAGATCGTGAACATGCTAAAAGAAAATGTAGAATTCTTTTAAAAATTCAGTGATGTCGTTGTCACAGGCTCAAGGAACCATGCAAAATTGATTTGACTCTGTAAAAGAATAGTATTTTAAATAGGTCATAGTCTTGAAGTTGTTAAAAGAAAAGACTGGAAGGAAATACATAGTAGTACTCACAGTGGAACTGCTTACATTTTGTAGTCATTTTCTTCTGCATTTTTATATGTTTTTTTTTTTTGGTTTTTCTCCGGTACTGGGAACCGAACCCACGACCTTGCGCTTGCCAGGCAGGTGCTTTGCCGCTGAGCTAAATCCCCAGCCCTCTTCTGCATTTTGTTATGTGGTGCACAAATAGAGAAAAGAAACTGGAAACTACGTAGTGTTTGTGTCTCCACACCCTTCTCTTTCTCTTGCTGGTTTTGTCCTTCCCTTGCATCTTGCAGGTAGGGCTGTCCGTCACTGGGATGACCGACTTCTTCATATGTACACCGAGCGGGCTCCCCTCGGACTCCATCAAGGGCACAGTTCACCAGTTAGATTCTTCCATGTCTTCCCTACTCTTTCCAATTGG